CCCCCCCCCCCCCCCCCCCCCCTCCACCCAATGTCTTTTTTTACGACTTCAACATCAGTATTCTGCTCACTTACAACTTGTTTACTTAACTTATAATGTAACTCTCTGAAATGAATACATTCACAGATACTTGGTACATTCTGCTGTCAATGTTTGTGTATTCTTATTTTCATTTGCAGCATTTTTGAATACTGGACTTGTTGTGAAATGAACTGTTTTTAGATATACACTGTGTAGGATATGAAAATAACTGACTCTGGTGCCACCAGTGGTGGTATCAAAAGTGACATTATGGCAGAAACCAATGCTCATGTCTACCCCTTCTGTACTGAATACCGATAGGGCATCAATCTTTAACAGGATTCTATAATTTAATGCAAACAAAAAGGCCATAATTATAAACAAATGATAAAAAAAATTGTCTTTCAGTAGAAGATCTGATGACAACAACAAAGTGTAGCTGCTGATCTCTTTTTGTTCTTTCTTTCTATTTGTTTCGTTCTACTTACTCTGCATGTCAGCGGAGCCTCTCTGCAGGGATCCATCTGGCTGTATGTACACGCCGTCACGCAACACGTCACGCAACACGTCACGCAACACGTCACGCAACACGTCACGCAACACGTCACGCAACACGTCACGCAACACGTCACGCAACACGTCACACACTGGTTTGAGGTTTGACATTGTGCGGATTGATCTGGTGCAGCTAGCTAAACGGTTAAATCCACAATGTAAGATGAGTAGTGTCAGGTGATCACATGGTGCAGTGTTGTTGTGCATCATGAACCTGATTTGTCTATGACGCCACATCTTAAAGCCCCTCCCATGTAGCATTTGAAAACGCTTAAAGCATTTTGCTTTTTTCAAGTTTTTTCGTTTACAAAAACAATCCCATTTTAAAATATATTGTGTAAAAATATATATCAAAATCAGCATTTCAAAAATGAGCATGTTTTATTTGAATGTAATCAAAGAACGACCCAGAAATCAGATGAGATTGTGAGACGTGGTTGTTACAGCAGCACAAAGAATACAGAAAGTAAATGTAGTAAATAATAAGATGTATATTCTGTAAAACAAGAATACAAAACGAAATAGAGCTCAAGAGCGCTTGAGGAAGAAACATACAACCAAAGTGACAGTGGTCTGATTAAACAGTATAACATATACTATAGGATTGTATCAAATGGTAAATTATAATATAGGCTATAAGATCAAGTATAAAGTGAAAGGTAGTACCATAGTATAGTACAGCAATATAACATAATATCATGGTATATAACATAATAAGAGCGGTGTTCCTACTGCTGTAGTCCTAATGAACCATGTGTCATTACAGTCATTCTTTATAAAACACAATACATATTCAAATCATTTCATATTCGGTCTATTCTTTAGTCAGAGCCTTTAATCACATGAAAGACTAAATATCATTTTCATATTGTAATGTGTAAACATGAGTGTGTCTCAGTGAGCAGTGCTGAAGAATCAACATATTTGAACTCATCATAGTAGGAAGAACAGGTGAATCTTATCTTGTTAACAATGGCTCAGTTTCATCAAGTGTCCCAGTGAGCTACGACATGAGTCAGCAAGCACAACACCAACACCAGGGAAGCAGCTCACCTAAAGGTAACACACAAGGCAAGCAGGTAGGGTGAAGGGCAACGTACTCACACTGGATGTCAGGCAGACTTGTAGGTTTGGGGCAACAGGATGAGAAACCAATCCAGGACGGGCGCTTCAGGAACAGGTTGAGGTGTCTGGAGAGCAAAGGCATAAGCACCATTGACCATCTGGTAGTGAGTGAGTGAATATACACTGCGGGGCTGCTGAAGGAAAAGTGGAAACAGGTGAGCAGGGAAATGAGAGTCATGACAGGTGGGACAGTCAGTGGATGGATGGGGAGTAGAGATGCACGGGACGGGCGAGAGAACTGTGTTTACTGTCAGTGAGTCAACACGGAGCAGTTGTAGTCATTGTATGAAGCTGGGTCTACATGACTTCTGGATGAAAAGTGAGCTTCTTGTGTCTCTCTACCTCAGACTGCTCCTGATGCCAGTCCAATGAAGCGCTCCGTCTCCACTGTGGCCCCACAGCGGCCCCAGGAGGTCAACCTGAGGGACTACACCCTGGAGAAACCCAGCCAGGACCGGCCCCCCCACCACCACCACCACCACCGCTGCCACCATCGCCGAGATAGAGACAGAGATAAAGACAGGGAGAGGAGGCAGAGGTCTTTGGATACACCTCTGGGTGGACCACCACCTAACTCTGCTGGTTAGTCAGCACTTACACACACACACACAC